ATTGCATATGTTAATCTTTAATGAGTACAGCTTTACTCCCTGGGGAAAACATTGTCAATTCTGTGGATTCCTACCCTCCTCAATGCCAATGTGCAGCAAATAGAAGCCTGGTAGACATCACTGCTGCTATGGAATACGAACACATACAAAATCGCAGGCACTTTAAACAATTCTTACCAGATTTCCTCTTCTATTAAGTATCTCCTCACTACTATCAGTTGATGATCCATAGCCACTACAAATTGGCAGGAAAATGTGATTAAAAAAGAAGAAGAAAGTGTTCTCTGAAAAAGTTCAATTCCTTCCCTCTGTCTTTCTTCTCACTCTGTTTGTGTTGGATTGTTGTAATTTTGTCATACCACCACAATATCTCTAGCCAAATAAAACATAGCAAAAATAGAAAAGTGGGCAGTTTTCAGTAGCATTGATGATGTGGACCATATGTAGCTTCCATCTAGTGTAGAGCTGCTGTGGTGCAAGATTTTGCAATTGGCTGCAGGACTAGGAAGGAAGTTTCTAGTAAGGGAAAAGTGACTCCGTTGAAAACCAGCAAAAATGGCACTACATTTTGACCTTAAGTTGATTTCCTTAAGGTGCACAGTCTATTGATAATTTTCCAATTTTTCAGGTAATGGGGAGTAAGACAAAGATATTTATAGTTATGGAGTTCGTTACCGGTGGGGAGCTCTTTGACAAAATTGTGAGTTAATTTTCTGCCAGTTCTGTTCAAATGACAAAGATATTTATAGTGATGGAGTTCGTTACCGGTGGGGAGCTCTTTGACAAAATTGTGAGTTAATTTTCTGCCAGTTCTGTTCAATTTTTTTTTCATTATCCATTTTACAAAAATAAATTACATATTGGAGTCCAGAACACAGTTTAACCATTCCCATTTAGCATATATTCTCTTCAAGAGCCGCTAATTATTGGTAGAGTATTTTCTGATGGAAGCTTCTTTCTATTTGAAGGTAAACCATGGACGGATGAGAGAAGATGAAGCACGGAGATACTTCCAACAGCTTATTAATGCTGTTGATTACTGCCATAGCAGAGGTGTCTATCATAGAGATCTGAAGGTACTTAACCTTTGCAAACAAGTGAATAACAGATATAAATATAAGAGAACGATAAATAATAACCTTTCATTTTCATGGATTTTCTTGCAGCCAGAAAATTTGCTATTGGATGCATATGGGAATCTTAAGGTTTCAGATTTTGGATTGAGTGCACTGTCCCAACAAGTCAGGGTATAAATAATATAATGCCATCTGAATTCACTTTCTTTCATCATTCATCTGTAAATATCATTTGATCCTACTGATGTTAGCTTCTTGTGTGGAGGTTCTGTATAAATATATTTAAGTTGTTTAACTATTTGTAGACACAAATTTTGAACTCTTTTTGAAATTCTTGAAATTGACATTTATAAGATTGAAGATATCTGAAATTTAGTCTCTGGCTCACTTAAGACTCTCATGTACACTGTAATCCGTGATGCACATGCGACTATTGTTCTAATTAGGTTGGTGCATTTTTGAAATGGCATGATACATCTTAAAGGTCCAGCATTTATTTTTTACTGTAAAATTGCACTTGCAGGATGACGGCTTGCTTCACACTACATGTGGAACTCCAAATTATGTTGCTCCTGAGGTGTGGATATTTATTCATGCCAAACTTCTTCCACATTATATATCTCTTTCTACACTTTTGATCCTTAATCTTGTGAACATGTACTGTCTTTGAGTTTAGGTCCTTAATGATAGAGGCTATGATGGGGCAACTGCGGACTTGTGGTCATGTGGAGTGATACTCTTTGTATTGCTTGCAGGTTACTTGCCTTTTGATGATTCTAATCTTATGACCCTGTATAAAAAAGTGAGCAATTTACTGATTGTATAGTGCAACCATGTAGTCTTCTTCATCTTCAGTTTATTACTTTCTGTTGCTATGTGTGCAGATCTCAGCAGCTGAATTCACTTGTCCCCCTTGGCTCTCTTTTGGTGCCATGAAGTTAATAGCTCGAATTTTGGATCCCAATCCTATGACTGTAAGTACTTGTGCACATTCCGTTGATAAGCTCATGGCTTTTGAGCCGATTCTCATTTCTGATTAATATAGTGCCATTTTTCGTAATCTGCACCTGGGTAGTGATGGATATTCATGCTAAACACAATTGGTTTTATGGTTAAAAAAAGACAGTTTTATTAAGAGAAACGAAATTAGAAGCATGGTCAAGTAGTCCATGAAACACAAAACAACAAAGGAATCATAAAAAGCCAAAGAGGAAACTGTTGGGACCTACTCTTGGATTTCTCCCCCTGGAACCGTAGAGGAGTCTTGAGCATGTACAATACCAATTGGGTGTTGGGCCCAATAGCTAACTAACCTTAATCCAAGCCTTGGAGCAAATAAGGACTCGACTTCTACTTAAAATCCAGCAGTCTCCCCTGTAATTAGCGCTATCCCAAATTCTTGACCTGTACGAAAATCACAATAATAATCCCTAATCCTCAAAAGAACAATCTCGAACAATCTCCAACAATCTCATAGAGGTCTGAGACACTTTAAACAAATAAAGGTCACCCTAAACATGGGCTTATCAGAGCATAGTCTACTTAGTTACAAAACTCAATAAGAAGTTAAAAAACATAAAGGAATGGAAACCCCACGATAGCAAGGGGAACTGAGAATGAGAGGAAGTGAATGCCTCCACATAATTCCAGCTGAACTCAAGATCTACTATCTAGGCAAAACAGAAATAAAGTTTTGGAAACCT